CTGGTATGGGAGTAGTAGGGAGGCGATTCGGTGTAAGCCTGTTCCTTTGATATTTGCTTCTCTGTATGGGAGGAGCTCGATCAGAGATTTGTTGTTGGGGTGGGTTGCGTCGGTGCAGAGTATTCTAGTTCCGTACTTTCTTGAGCGATATGTCAGGAGATGTTCTAAGGGGGGTAGGCCTGCTTCTCGGAGGAGTTTAGTTCTTTTGGTCCATCGTGGTAGGCCGGTGATGATCCGGGCCGCTTCATTATATAGTGGTTCGAGGGATCTTATAATGTGGTCTGCGCCGGTTCACCAAGCCTCGGATCCGTAGAGTAGACTTGGAAGGAAGCCTTGTGTTATGATATGATGGATTGTTTTAACCGTTATTCCTGGCAAGCGGGCGGTGTATCGAATCTGGTGGAGGGCTTTAAGGCCTTTTGCAATCGCTGCTTCGATGTGGGGCCGGAAGGAGAGGGTCGGATCTATCCAGACTCCTACATATTTCAGCCTCTCCTTGGGGTGTATGTTGGTATTGTTAATTTTGGCCGGAAGTCGTGGTTGTTGTGTGGATGACGTGGTGGGCCGGGAGAAGATCAGGTCGGATTTATCCGGGTCGTACTTAATTTGGAGTGACTCAGCTTTTATTAGTCTCTCTCTCATTCGTTCCTCCATTCTCTTGATTGTGAAGCCTGGTGTTTTGGATATTTGCACCAGCGCATCGTCATCGATATATGTGGTGTCCATCTCTTTCGGGCTACTTGTTGGGTCCAGGATTACTCCAGCATAGATCATGAATAGTACCGGGGACATGGGGCTACCTTGCGGCACTCCAGAATCATAGGGCTGTGGTTCCTCTAGCTCATGGTTAAATTGAAACTGTAGTTTTCTGCCGGTATTGAATTCCTTGCACCATTCTGTTAAGTAGGTAGGGAATTTTTGTTGGTACATTATTTCCGCGAGGAGTAGGTGGTCGACGCAGTTAAATGCTCCTTGGATATCGTTGGTTAGGATCGCTGGCCTGTCTCGCCGAGCGATTCCGGTACTGTTTTTCAGTAGTAAGTTTTGTTGTATTGGTGTTAAGGTTCTCAGGAGGGCGTCGATTGCCGAAATGGTTGGTCTTCCTCCAAATTGATTCACTGAGAGTGTGCCTAGGATTTCTCCAGCGGTGCAGAGTCTCTGAGCCACTATCTTTTCCAGGATTTTGCTGAAGCATTGTAGAAGGGAAATGGGCCGATAGGCTTTTGCTTCATGATAATTTGCTTTGCCGAGTTTCGGGATCGGGATGCACTTAGCTATTTTCCATTCCGCTGGGTGTACCCCGTGCCGGAGCATGGCAGAGAACATGTCTTGAATTAGAGTTGTGTTTGCTCTCACTATTGCTTTAATAAAGGTATAGGGGATGCCATCCGGGCCGGTCGCCGAGTGCGCTGGGCAGGAGTCGATTGCTTTATTAAGTTCTTCTGGGGTGACTATGTCGAAGGTGTTGCTAAGGTCAAAAGAGGGGGGCCTAATGTTTAGGGGGGGATGGTCGGGGGACGTCCGTTTTGAGGGGAAAAGTTGGGCTCTTAGAGCGTGACACTTCCCCGCAAACGTTTCTTCACCTTGTATTGTTGGTATGATTGTGTCTCTTCTCCTTCCTGCATTTAGGATTCTCCAGACCTCACTACCTTTCGCCTCGTTCATCGTCTTTTCCCGCTGGTCCGCTTTCGCTTTCCGGATCATGACCGTCCATTCTCTGCATGCCTTCCGGTGCTCCTCCGCGTGGTTGGGTTTCTTTGTATTTCTCGCCTTCCTTTCTGCCGCGTTTACCCTTGCCTTCATTTGTTTCATTTCCTCTGACCACCAGGAGTTGGCTCTTACTCCTTCCTTCGAGAGTGGTGTTACTATACTGATTGTTGCCCTGACCAGTTCTAGGAAGAAGTCGACAGTTTGTTCCGTATGTTCCTTGGTTTCCCATGCCTCTGCTGGGAGAGAAATGTTTGACATGTGGTTCTCCAAGAGCTTCCAGTCTGTTTGTCGCCACATCCATCTTGGTACGAATGGTGGTTTTTCCAAGTGTAAGTGAACGGAGGTTCTCCCGTGGTCTGAGCCCGCTCCATAAGGTTCAGTGCTCCATCGTAGGTTGTGGTCGAGAGTTGGGCCTTTTACAAATGTAAGATCGATAATCGTAGGCCTTTTTCCTCTGTCTCTGGGGAAGTGCGTAAAGACGCCTGGTTCATTCAGGAGGGTCAGTTTCTGTCGAATTATCCATTGTTTTAGCCGTGCACCGTTGGCGCGGTCTGCTCGGATGTTGTTTCTGTATTCATGTGATGATACTCCGTACCACATTTGATGATAGCAGTTAAAGTCTCCCATTACTAGGCAGTTGTCGAGGGTTTGGATTGTTTTTGCTATTTGGGCAAAGGGGCCACTTCGGCCTGGGGAGTATATATTTAGGATTTGGGTTTTCTTGTTCTGGATTTCTACCGTGATTGATACTATAAAATTATCGTGTGTGTAGTGGTGTTTTGGTTTGAGGTTGGCATGTTTGCGGACGTATGTTGCACATTTTGTATTGGTGTTGCTGGCTGTAAAAATATAAAAGAGGTTTGATTCTGGTGGGAATCCCTCTGCTGAGGTCCATGGTTCTTGTAATAATAGGAAATAAATGCTAGAGTCTGTTTCCGCTTCTTCTACCGCCGCCTTGGTAATAAGTTCGCTCCGTGCACAATTGAGTTGATGTGCGAGCGCGGTGGTTCGAGGCCTAGGCATTATTTGTCATGTGTTGGTCGTCTTCGGGAACGGGTGTGGCTCCGACTGGGGCGGTGGCTGGTACTTGAACTATCGGAAGCAACTCTTGGACGGGTGCGGCCGGTGGGTCTTGAGCGGGTGGGGCGTTTTCCTTTCCTTTGTTGAGGAATCGGCGTTTGACTCTTTCGGGGCATGCTGGGTCGGAGGCCTTATGGATTCCTTTACAGTTCAGACATCTGATTGGGGTGTGGGTGCATCTATATCCTCCCTGGCATTGATTGCATGGGTGGAAGCTGGTGAGGTGGTCTCCGGCACAGTGGCCGCATCTCCCATTGTTTTTGCATTTCTCCTGGCGGTGGCCGTATTCGAGGCACTTCGCGCACTGGGTGTCTGGGAAGGTTGGGAGGAAGGCCTCGATGTGGCAGCTTCGGTTAAAGAGGGATAGGAACTTAACTCCTAGCGTTTCCATTGTAATTTGTCCTGGGAGCGCGATGACCATTGATGAGTGGGTTTTCTCCATTCCAGTCTCTGCTCTGGAGATCCAGCGGGGAACCTGGGCAAGTTGGAAACTCTCTCCATAATTGCTTCTAATTTCAGATGCTACCAGTTGTCCTGCCTCGATGCCTTCTCCGATCGTAGTGGGGATTCCGTGGATAAGGAACTTTGACCATTTGGAGTTTGCGCGGATGATGGCGACCGGTACTTGTTGGGTCAGGAGAGCCTCCTCAATTTCTTTGGCATATTCCATTGCCTTTGTTGCTGGGGTGATAAACTTTGTTTCCAGGATGAAGTTATCCTTGGGTGTTCTCCTTGCTGAAATGAAGTGGCAGGATTCGTCCTGAATTCTTGCATTGACTAGGGTCCTGATTTCGGAGGGATTTACATCGGATGGGGCAGTGGTTTCAACAATGATTTCTCTGTTGATTTTGGTATATTCTGGTTTGAAGAGAGGGTCCGCTTTTGGCTTTGCGGGCTTCTTTCTTCTCTCGACAACCTGGAAGTTTCCTAGGGCATGACCGGGTGCCGAGGCCACGGCGGCCCAGGTGCCTGCCTTCCATCCACGGGGTGGGGCTTGTTGGGGAGGTGCGGGTGGGGGTGCCTGAGGAGCTGCCTGTGGCGCTGCTTGGGGGATTGTTTGGGGAACCGCTGGAGGGGCCGTTCTCTTTCTTTGTTGCGGTTGTTGTGGTTGATGGTGTTGCTGCTGTTGTTGTTGTTGCTGCTGTTGTTGTTGCTGTTGTTGTTGCGGTTGCTGCGGTTGTGGTTGTTTATTGAGGAGGGCATGAATTGCCGAATGCATGTTGGTGATCATGTTTGTTTGGGCCTCAATTTGGTGTTTCAATGTGTCCACAGTTCTCCGGAGTGTAGTTGTTTGCTCTTCGAGGATCTCGATCCTGTCGGAGGGTGGGCAGATCCGGCTGGTTGCATGTCTGATGGCCCAGGTGATATAGTTTAGGTCTGTCTGGGTGTGGGTGTCTTGGGGGACAATACTCGGGTAGAGGTAGTCGACACTTGGTTGGTAAGGATCGTTATAGTCAGATTCTTTTGCAAAGGTCGAGGAGAATTCCTGTTCCTGTGTTCCGGATGGGGTTGGGTTGGGAACCTGGGTGTTCCTGATCTGTGAGGGGGCTGTCCCTTGCTGGGAAGACTGGGTGAAGAAGGACTGGAGTGAAGCTTGCTGTGACATGATTGAATGTCCGGTTCTTCGGGCGGCGTAGAGTGATGTTTCGGATAGGTTTCTTTTCCTTCCTTTCGGGAGGTCAAGGCTGGAGAATTCTTCGCTAGAAGCCAGTTTTCGTGGTGTTTCTTTCGCTAGGAACAACAAACGCGACCGTACGATCGGGGACGAAGTGGCTCAGCCTGGTATGGTATACCAGGGTAAACCGAGAGGAATAAAATAAAATGTTTTTGAAGCGAGGTTAATTGTCAGGGAGTTCTTTGCGAGCCTTAGCGAGCAAAATGAATACAGAGGTTGCGTAAAGAGAGAAGGAAAGAGAGAAAACAAATAAAAGCACGAAACAAAGCCCCCTTATATATTCAACGATAGTTCAATGATGACTAATACTTCCGCGTAACAGAAACAAAAAGAACATAACAGAATCCCCATTACAAATCCTAATTCCACTACACAATATCTCCTCGTCTCGTACCAATCTATTACCTGGCCGAAATACATAGCTGCCGTTACAACGGAGTGCAGAAAGCTCAAAGAATAGAACAACAACAGGAAGGGAAGGAGAAAGGACAACTTGGCATCGGTTGTAGTAAATGACTCTACAACCACTATCTGTATGGTACGCCACGACATCTCCCAACCCCTTACTTGGATCCTTGATTCTAGAGCGACCTCTCACATCACACCCTTCCAAGTCCAACTCATCAATATCCGACCTCACACCGGCAACGTCCGAACAGTTGATGGAACCAACCATGCTGTCACTGGAATGGGAAGCGCTAGTTTCAGCTGCCAACTTCCCGATGGAAGTAGATCTTCCATTCTCCTCACCGATGTGCTGTTGGTCCCAACCTTGAGAAATGTGGGATTGGTCTCCGAAACAGTGCTCGACAAAAAGGGATTTAGAACGGAGTCAGGAGGAGGAAGCAAGTTGGTTACAAAAGAAAAGAAAGGAATAATCTGGGCAAAATTGGAGAAGGGACTTTGAAATGTACAAGTAGTTAGCAATACAGTTCGTTTGACCACTTACGATGAATGGCATCAAGCGTTAGGCCACCCTGCAACACTAGAAAACTTGTATCACGACATTCAAAGGCTGCCTCCCAAACCAGAAGGTTTCCACTGCAGTCAATGTACACTATCAAAAAGCGTACACAAGAAACCTGCACTAATCAGTACTAGATCCAAACGACCATTTGAACTAATCCACTCAGCCCTATCTGGAAAGTTCAGTATACAGTCACAAGGAAAAGCTCAGTACTATATGTCCTTCATCGATGATTACACCCACTTCGCTTGGATATATCTCCTAAAACAGAAAGAAGACGCAAAGAAGGCCATGAGGGACTACGTTACCAGGATCGAGAAACAGTATAGCACAACAATACTGAGATTCAGAACGGATGGTGGAGGTGAATACATCAACAAGGACATAACGAACTACTTCGACACACAAGGAATAGTTCATGAACAGGCTCCCCCATACACTCCTGAATCTAATGGATTTGCAGAACGATTCAACAGGACGGTAACCACAATGGTCAGGTGCATGATCATGGACCATCCTAAGTCGTTATGGGGAGAAGCATACGCAAGAGCTGTCTACCTCAAAAACAGGCTAACTCACAGTACGATTAAGGGAAAGACCCCCTTTGAAGCCCTAAAAGGAACCAAGCCAAGTATACAACACCTTCAACTATTCGGTAAAAAATGCTACGTACACATCCCAGAAAACTCTATGCCAGCAGGAATCAAACTAGCACCCCGAGCGTATGAAGGAATCATAGTTGGATACTCAGACAGTAATAAGATATACCGTATCTGGATAGCAACACAACATAGGGTAATTGAAAGTGGGGACGTCACATTTCCCCCTCCTGAATCAGGGGAATTTTCAGTGGAACTCGACTTCATCTGCAGCCTGAAACCAGACGCGGCAACAGCACCATCAGACGATGGATACGAATCAGAAGACAGGTCTGATCCAGAACCCGAATCGTTAGCAATCGAAGAAAACCTGAAGGAAGACGCAAGTAGACTGGGAGCCGGGTTGACGGGGCTCACTCCCGGACGTCACCTTACAGGATCTGATGAACAAGACACTAATCAAAAACTACCAGGAGATTTCCCGGCATCACCGGAACGAAAGAAAGTCCAACTACCAAAGACGCCAAACAAGGGAAAACAACCTGAGTCATCAGATCCACCACCAGCTCCAAGACGATCAAATCGTGTCCGCAAGAAAATCGATTATGAGCTTGATAAGGAAATAAGAAGGAAGGAATACAACAACAAGGTAATACAACAACAGGAGCAACTAAAAGGGTACATTGAATCAGTTAGAGAGGACGGTCCAGTGGATGAAGGCGAACAACAAGCTATGATTAAAGAATTCAAAGCCGACCTCATAAAGGCCAGAAAGGATCTGGACCTAGAATACCAAGATGTATCCAATGAACCCGCGATCTATCGTATACACTATGTAACCGAACCTTCAACCTATAATCAAGCCATGAACAGCGACGATCAACACCTATGGAAAAAGGCGATACAGACTGAAAAAGACGCCCTTGACAAAGCCCATACCTGGGATATTGTCAACCGACCAACCAACCGAGCAGTAGTCAAAGGGAAGTGGGTATTCAAAGTGAAATACAACGCGGACGGAACAATCGAGCAGTACAAAGCAACGTACGTTGCCAAAGGCTTCACCCAAGTACAGTATCAAGACTACGATGAGACCTTCGCCCCCGTTGCACGATATGATTCCCTACGACTTCTACTAGCACTAGCTGCATACAACGGTTGGAGACCACAACAAATGGACGTTAAGTCAGCCTTTCTATACGGTGTACTCAAGGAGGAAATCCCTATGGAACTGCCTGAAGGCTACAGGCAGGACAGCAAGGTTTGTAAACTTCGAAAATGCATATACGGACTAAAGCAATCACCCCGTGAATGGTATGGTTGCCTAGCAGACTCCTTTCAACGGAAAGGATTCGTCCCAGCCAAATTCGAACCATGTGTCTTCATACATAAGAACCAACAACTATACATATCGGTGTATGTAGATGACATCATGATATTCGGACCCGACTCCCCATTCTGAAAAGAAATCAGACAACTACTCAAGGCAGATTTCGAATGTACGGATATCGGTAACTCGAAATTCATACTGGGAATAGAAATACGGTAACCAACAACGGTATCACGCTATCACAACGCGCATACATCAACAAGATCCAGTACCCGTCAGTGCTCCACTGAAGGCTCCTGCACCGGACGGAGGTGATGTGTTGGGGCTGTTGAGTGTTAGCTCAGGTTATCTGTGGCTAGGGCTAACTTAGGGTTAGTTAGGGTTAGTTAGGGTTAGTTAGGGTTAGTTAGGGTTAGTTAGGGTTAGTTAGGGTTAGTTAGGGTTAGGTTAGGGTTAGGGTTAGTTAGGGTTAGTTAGGGTTAGTTAGGGTTAGTTAGGGTTAGTTAGGGTTAGTTAGGGTTAGGGTTAGTTAGGGTTAGGGTTAGTTAGGGTTAGTTAGGGTTAGTTAGGGTTAGTTAGGGTTAGTTAGGGTTAGTTAGGGTTAGGTTAGTTAGGGTTAGTTAGGGTTAGTTAGGGTTAGTTAGGGTTAGTTAGGTTAGTTAGGGTTAGTTAGGGTAGTTAGGGTTATGGTTAGTAGGGTTATTAGGGTATATGGTTAGTT